GGCAAAGCAGATGTAGTGTTTGACATTCCCAATATCAAATTAAGGTGGTTCCATTTGATCGCAAAGCTGCCTTGGAGTCTACATCCAATGAGGCTTAAAGTTCTTTCAGGGACTCCTTTAACAAACATCATAATGCCACTGGGCAGCAGTCCCTAAACTTTTGGCACTAGGAATCAGTTTCATGGAAGACATTTTTTTCCCCATGGAAGGGGAGTTGAGGGGTAAAGAGAATGAGGATGGGACAGGAGGCAGAGCTCAGGCGGTGACACAGATAGCTAAGGTGGGGACACAGCTGTAAATACAGATGAAGCTTAACTTGTTCATCTGCCTCTTGCCTCCTGCTTTGTGGCCTGGTCCTAACAGGCCACTGACTAGAATCTTTTTGGAATTAGGGACCAGTTTCATGGAAGATAATTTCTCCATGGACAGGATTAGGGGAGTATAGAGGGGTGGGAGGAGGGGTGGGGAGATAGCAAGAGACAGGAGGCCAAGCTTAGGCAGCAAAGTTGTGCTGCTGGTTCCTAATAGGCCATAGACTGGGCAGGGTTCACAGCCTGGGGTTGGGGACTGCAGCTCGCCCTAGGGGATAATGATTGTGCAGAAAAACAAGGATATGGATGATTGAATTAAAGGATATGATACAAAAAATATGGTATCTGGGGCTGAAGAAGTTTTAGGAATACATTAGCCAAAATAAGACAGCATTAAATTGGCTAACATTATATCTGTTACAAAATACAAAAATCTCCTTTGCTGGGAAAGAGCTTCTATGTGGTATAAAAAGTAAAATGAACCTAAGTAGCTACATCTACAGACCATGTATTATGTAGAATTTATACTACAAAGAGCCCTCTAACCAACTGCTCCCCCATTCTCTCCAAGCAGGATGATAGCCATGGAATAATCACTGAGAAAGTTTTACTTGCTGGAAGGCATTTTCTGTGTTACAGTTTTAATTTGATATCAGATTAAGAATATGAAAAATTCCAATTTGTGTTTTTTTCATAGATAAATGTTAACACAATTATTATGTCACATGTGAGTTATTTATATGGATCATCATATTTGAGGAATAAGTGTTTTGATGCAAAGATTTTAAAAGGAGTGAGGCAAGCAGGCATCTGTAATTTGTTTGTTCAGTGGTGGCCTTTAGTACACTACCCAGTGTTGTAAATATCCAAAGACCAACTCCAGCATGTGTTTACTTAGCCTTGCACTTTGAGTTAGTTCTAGAGATCTATTATACAAATTAACTTTCATCTGATTAGCCAGGTTCAAGAAATACTTCAAAACATAATGTGCTTGAAATTGTCCTATTAAAAAAGTAGTGATTTCATCATTTGAATGTTTCTGCGATGCATTTTTATACAACTACGTTCATGTACTTTTAAGAAGCTTACATACAGTGTATGTAATCCAAGAAATAAGACAGTGAAATACTATTTCTAATACATCAGATGAGAATGGGTTAAAGGGAAGATCAATGTGATAGATGAGAAAAGCATTAGGAAACCAGTACTCACACAGCTGGCAGGACCTTTCCAGATGGTTTGGCAATCTGTATTCAAATGGTCTGAAAAAAAAGTACAGGCAATTTAACCTGGAGATTATCCTGAGCAAATAATCAAACAAGAGTACAAAGGTCTATTACATACAAGAATGCTTATGGGGGAGGGGGTGGCAAACTCAGAGATTTCCCACTAAATATTTACAAAGTAAGGCCAGAAGTTTCTGTTATGGGATACTCCTAACTAACATGATAAGCAGGAGAGGAGGCAGCCTCCAGCTCAGGATTGCTGACAAACCTGGAGAGGAATAGGACTGGGCCCAAAGAGAACAGGCAAAGTGCAGCACCCCTGTGGAGGCAGAAGCTCAGGCACAGTATTGAGGCCTTCAGTGGTTGTCTGGCTTGAAGCAGTATAATGAGAGAAGCGTCCTCTGATCTGGGAATGCAGGTGTCACACACCTGGGGCCTCCAGAGAACACTTAGGAGGGGCAAGGGGATCTTCAAAAGATTGATAATTCAGACTCACTTTGAATCTACAAATCGAGCAAATTTAAATAAGGCATTGTGTGTGGCTAAGCTTCCCAGAAGTTAAGGCATATAAATAAATATATCACATTACAGTTTCTTAAGTGTGTTTGACTGCCTAAATATGCTTAAGAAAGGGAGATCTGGAGCTATTGGAATTGCATGCATACTATAAGCTTTTAAATACAAATTGTCAATAACAGGTATAACATGTTTGCCTTCAACTATTTCATTGAATAAACATATCAAGTAACTATTATGTGCCAGAAACTATTCTAGGGTCCTAGGGTCATGGATGTTTGAGTCTACTGTTCTGTTTTGAAGCCTAATGATTAAAGTATATTAAATTACTTTCCATTTTATACTGATCACATTATCCAGTTTTGAAATTTTAAAGAAAAAATTGAACAGAAATATCAACAATTAGAAATTCCAGATACTGCTACTGAGCAATATTACTTCTGAAAAATATGTAAATGGAATGTCACTTATTCAGGTTTTGAAAAGAGTTTACTTTCCCTGCAGACATTTGAATCACATGTCCTGAATTTTAGAAAATATTCTAAAATGCAAATTTACTATGTAAGTAATTGACACTTTGCTAACTGAAAAGTGATCAGAACTGAAGAAAGTTGGTACCAACACTATCTAAAGGCAAAAAAAAAAAAAAAGAAGTGAGGAGAAAATAAGATTATGAATATGTGATTATGATTCCATATTATGATTTTTGCATGTTACTCTAATATCTACCTTTAGGAGATCAATGTGATACATTGAAGCTTTTCTTTTTTATTTAGGAAAATACTTGTTTAGGCTGTCAAACACACTTAAAGTACTGCAATGTGATATATTTATTTATATGCCTTAACTTCTGGGAAGCTTAAAACCACACACAGTGCCTTATTTAAATTTGCTCATTTCATGTCTTTTGTTTTTTTAAATGCCTAGGTTTTCTATAGATAACTGTACTTTATTTGTTCTTTTTACAACTTCTAATTGTCTAGATTTGCTTTGTGGTCCAATCCCTGCGTGCCTCCTTAGGCAGCATGGAAAAGACTATTGGTGCCACCTCTCTCTGTGTTTTCCTCCCTGGACATGTGGTTAAACTGCATTTCCCAGGGCACCCACCTCACTTGGGTGGGACATATGACTGAGTTATGGCCAGTGGAATTTTAGCAGATGTGATGTGGATGTCAATAGTCAATCAGGGATGGATGTGGATGGCTCACACCACCATCTTGGGAGGCTAAGATGGGGGGATCAACTGAGACCAGGAGTTTGAGACCAGTTTGAGCACAAGTGAGATCCCATCTCTAAAATAACAGAAAAATAAGCTGGGTGTTATGATACTTGCCTGTAGTCTTACCTACTTGGGAGACTGAGGCAGGATGATTACTGAAACCCATGTTTGAGATTGCAGTAAGCTATGATGATGCCACTAGCCTGGGGGATAAACTAAGACCTTGACTTAAAAAAGCACACCTAATGTGCATGATGCAATGGTACATTTCAAAACTATTAAGAAATGAGTGTAATTGTGATGGATGTGTTACTTGGTTCAATGTAAACATTTCACATTGTATGTCGAAGCAGTACCCTGAACCCCATAAATGCATCAATGTACAAAGTTACGATTTAATAAAAAATAATAAAAAAGTAAAATATTTGATTTATGCCCTAATATATGATCAATGTAGGGGGATGATCCATGGGCTGATGAGAAGAATGTGTTCTCAGTTTTATTAGGATGAAACATTCTGTATATATGTGTTAAGCCCATTTGTTCTATGTTTAAGTCCATTCCTTCTTTGTTCGGTTTCTGCTTGGAGGATCTGTCCTTTAGTGGAGGATCTTTCCACTAAAGAATGTTGAAATCTTTAGCTATTATGAAGTTAGAGTTGGAAGATACCATATTTTTCAGATCATTTAGGGTTCATTTAGTATATCTAGAAGCATTTAGATTGGGTGCATAAATATTAATGATTGCATCTCTCCATGTCTTATGCTGTCCATCATTGCCTTTCCTTATTTTTGTGGTATAAATCCAACTGTATCTGCAAACAAGATTGCAATCTTGGATTTTTTCTAATTTCCATTTGCCTGGAGTATTGTTTCCATCTGTTTACAAAGAATCTTATTGTATCCCTAGAAATTAGATGTATTTCATGGAGACGCAAATACTAGGTTTCAGTTTTTTTTATTCAGTCAGCCAGCCTGAATAGCTAACTTGCCTCTTTAGTGGGAAATTCAAGTCATTCATGTTTATCGAGAGAATTGATAGGCATTGTGGAGATTTGTTTGTCTTGTTTTATGGAGGTCCACTGCTTAGTTTTATCCCTTGAACTATTGTGGAACCTAGGCTTTGTTCTTTAATTCCTGGGTTTGTTCTTTAATTTGTGCTTTAATTTTCTGACAAGAACACTTAAGAAAAAAGGCATGGGTGGGATATTTCATAAAATAATAGAGGTCATCTACAACAAACCCACAGCCACTGAATGTAGTGAAACTGAGAGTATTTCCACTTAGGACTGGAACCAGACAGATTGCCTACTATAGCCACTGATATTCAACATAGTAGTAGAAGTCCTAGCCAATGCAATCAGGCAAGAGAAGGAGATCAAGGTATTCAAACAGGGGCAGAGGAAGTCAAATTCTCACTCTTTGTAAATGACATGATCTTATACCTGTAAAACCCTGAGGACTCAACTACAAAGCTCTTAGAAGTAGTTGAGAAACATTACAGAACATCTCAGAATACAAAATCAATGTCCACAAACCAGTAGCTTTCATATATGCCAATAACTATTAAGCTGAGAATAAAATTATTAACATAATACCCTTCACAGTAGCTCAAAAGAAAATGAAATCCCTGGGAATTTATCTAGAAAATTGTGTGAAGGATCTCTATAAAGAGAGCTAGGAAACCCTAAGAAAAGAAATAGCAGGACATTAACAAATGGAAGCATGCATTTGGTTTGGCATAATATATACTAAAATTAGAACAGTATAGAGAGGATTAGCATGCCCCCTCTGCAAGGATGGCATGCAAATTCGTGGAGCATTCCATACTTTTTATGGATGATAAAGACAGTAAAAGGAATGGACAAAAAATGGAAAGAGATCTAAAAGTCAGACAAGAGATAGGTAGATAGAGAGGATATTGTGGAACTTAAGGAAATGAAGGAGACAATCAGCGGAAAGTATCAAAAATAGATTAGACAATGGAGAAGAAAAAACCTCAGGGCTAGAGGATAAAATTTTCAAGTTAACCCAGGTAATCAAAAAGGTACAAAAGAAGAGAGAGAAGGCAGAACATTTGCTTGGAGAACTACGAGACTCCATGACAAATTGAAACATGCAAATACTAGGGATCCGTTGAGGGAAAGAAGATTGTCCCAAAGGAATGGAAACCCTACTGGAGACTATCATAAATGAAAACTTCCAGTTTTACTAAAGAACCCAATACACTTCTTTCAGATCCCTCAAACCCTGGGTCATCTCAACTCAAACAGAGCGTCTCAGACACATTGTAATGAATCTGCTCAAAGTCAAGATGAAAGGAAAAATTATGCAAGCAGTCAGGAATGAGCACCAACTGACCTACAAAGGCAGAGCCATTAGGATGACAACAGACTTCTCAGCTGAAACCTTCCAAATCAGAAGGGAATGGTCATCCACCTTCAACATTCTTAAACAAAACAATTTTTAGCCCAAAATTCTATATCTTGCTAAACTAAGCTTCAAAATTGATGAAGAAATCAAATCTTTTGTGGATATACAAATATTGAGGAAAATTTCCACAAGACCAGCTCTACAAGAAATACGTAGACTTGTCCTCAACATGGACCATCACAATGGATCACCAGAAAAGTAAACACCCAGAAGCTAAAGGTCAAAACATAGGTTCCACAATGGCACAAAGGGTAAAACTACACAATGGACTTTCACAAAATAAGATGAATACAACTCCACCACAATATAAATTCTCTTAATAAATGTCAATGGACTGAATTCACCATGGAGAGGCACAGGCTGGCTGATTGGATGAAAAAGCCCAAGCCATCCATACGCTGTCTCCAGGAAACAGACTTAGCCTTGAAGGACAAATCAAGACTCAGAGTTGAGGGATGGAAAACAGTATTTCCAGCAAATGGAAATCAGAAGAAAGGAGGGGTTGCAATCTTTATGAAGCAGAATGCAAAGTTATTTTTCTTAAACTGCAGCCTAAAAAGTCTAATAATATGAATATATTCATATTGAATCAGAACTTAGCAAGCTTATAAAAAGTATGTTCTTGAGAAGTTGGTGTGAGGTAAAATTTTTAAAGCATCTTCCTTTTCAGTTGAGTTGATATAATTTCAGAGATGCTGAATTTCTTTTCTAAATTAGCTTCAGTTGACAGCACTAGCCTATCACCTGGCTTTAATGTCTTTGATTTTCTGCTATGTGCTTTTTCGTATGTCCTTAATGACTTAATGCACCAAAGGCACTAAAAGGAATTATACATAAGTCTCTTTGATAAGGGGGAAATGTTTTTGTAGTATAAATAATCTAGTTTTATATGTTTTTACTATACTGCTTTTATAGTTTATATGTTTTATAAATTTGAATTACTTTGTAATTAATAGACTGTCCCTATATTAAATATCAACTAGTAGAACTCTTCATTATCCCTGGCAAGGGTATTACCAAAGGATAGTAAATTTAAGAGTAATTATTGACCTATTGGTCCATAATTTAATACTGATTTCATATTTAAATTATTAACAAGTAGATTTTTTTCTTATTGGAATAAAGGTAGGCTGCGCCTTTACTTGGAAAGCACTACAGATGGAAGTATCAGATGCTGTAGTTGTAATCTTAGGCCTTGCCGCCTGTGTCTCCTGTCCCCAAGTTTATAAATAGGCAAACTTATGGAAAATAATTTGTCATTTTCTTCCTCTCTTCCCTTTTCTCCCTACCCCCATGCCACAGAGAGATGTGCATCATTTTATACAATTGCAATTTAAAAGAATTAGGTTGAATTTGGCTAAGTTGTAATGTTTCAGAAAGGTAGTGGAGCATGCCTTTTATTTTAGCAATATTTTGTTGTATCTTTTCTCCATACTGCCCAGAAATGATTTCAGAGCACTTTACTGTTGTTATTTTAGGTTTCATTTTGTTACTAATCCTTACAACATTCCTATAAGGAGATAGAGGGTATATGGTATTGTCGCTGTTTTTGTAGGTGGGGAAACATGATGCACAGATCTGTTGACTTTCCTAACTTGATGTAGTCAGGACCAGAGCAAAGAATCACCTGGCTCCTAAGGCCCATGTTCTATCTTGATTTGACTCTGCTTCATAGAGCAGAGGAAACAGGCGAAGAATCATGTAAGTCGTTGTTTTTTTTTCCCCCTGAAGAACTTTACAGACTATGGAATTAGCTTGGATTTCTTTACTATTTAATAACTTTCAGACTCCAAGACATTAGGTGGTCATTAAGTAATGTTCAAAAACTAAAGTCTTTAAGATGGTTAAATTTCTTTTTTTTTTTTTTTTGAGACAGAGCCTCAAGCTGTCCCCCTGGGCAGAGTGCCGTGGCATTACAGCTCACAGCAACCTCCAACTCCTGGGCTCAAGCGAGTCTCCTGCCTCCGCCTCCCAAGTAGCTGGGACCACAGGCGCCCGCCACAACGCCCGGCCATTTTTTGGTTGCAGCCGTCATTGTTGTTTGGCGAGTCCGGGCTGGGGATTCGAACCCGCCACCTTAGGTGTACGTGGCTGGCGCCTTAGCTGGTTGAGCCACAGGCGCCGAGCCAAGATGGTTAAATTTCTTAAAGGTATATTTTAAAACTCAAGGGCTGGTTATATAGAATTTATTTTAATGTAAATAATGGTTATCACTGTATGTGAATTAAAAGTATTTAATTAAACATCTTTTCTGAGACAGTGCTTGTGGCTCAGTGAGTAGGGCACTGGCCCCATATACCGAGGGTGGCAGGTTCAAACCCAACCTGGCCAAACGGCCAAAAAAAAAAAAAAAAAAATAGCTGGGCATTGTGGCAGGCACCTGTGGTCCCAGCTACTGGGGAGGCTGAGGCAAGAGAATCACATAAGCCTGGGAGTTGGAGGTTGCTGTGAGCTGTGACACCACAGCACTCTACTGAGGGTACTAAAGTGAGACTCTGTCTTTAAAAAATAAATAAATAAATAAAGTATTGTTGTGTCAGTCTAATTAGATACCCACATCCTTCTCATCATCACTTATAACTCATTTCCAAGTCTCCTGAAGACAGGGAGATGTACTAAGTGCTGTCAGGTAACCTTCTGCAACCCTATTCCTCATCCCCAGCTCTTTGATTTCTTGGAGTTTCCTTTGATTATCTTAGTTTTTTAATTGTTGTGTCTCCATGTTACCAGAAAGTGTGTGAATCACAGTTATTACTAAGTTGTTTTCAACAGCAAAACTGAAAGGTGAGCAGGTTGTAGAGACTTGCCCTATGTCCATGTTGATAGAGGATCCTTAAGTGATCCACTGTAGGTATCCCCTTGGTTCTCATGAAGCATGCTCCAGTACAAAGTTATTTTCTTATATGGACTGAGAATAATTAAATCAATTGGAAAACTTTTTTAAAATCCAGCTTGATGTAAATTGCACATCCTAAAGTGATCAAGGAGATCAATATGTTCCATTTAAATATAGGAAACAATTATATTTGTAAGACTCTGATTTTTTCTACTTACAAATTGAGACATGCTCACTTTATGCATTTTACAGAATTTAAAAAGTATACTAGCATAAAATTCATTCATAATTCATCATTGAAGAACTATATAATTTCAGATGTTTTTTCTTTGCTCATGTGTATACATTTGTATTTCTTTTTTTTTTT